TTTAGGGGTCAAAACATTTTTAAGGAGATATAATTTTAAGATGTTGGCTTTAAAAATCCATAATTAGATGTGGGCCAAACACTTTGTGCATCAAATCCAAGCGTGGTAGATGATTTGTTTTAATCTTGAAGACCCTTCTGTGTCCTGCAACATAATTTTCTCTTATATAAAAAAGCACTTACAAATATGTAATTATTAATATTATATGGTATGCAATAAAAATTCTTACATTTTTCCGATCTCGCCACCATTGTGGATCCATGAGTATTCTTCATGTACCAGGTTCAATGAAAACACCAGTACGTCGAACAAGCTTTTTATATACCACGTACAAAGCTCTAAAGTCATCGTGTTTACTCTTACATTTATCCCAATCAATTATAAATCCTATTTGTTCACGAATCTTTTTGATAATATTTATTTTGTCGTCTCTTTGTGGCAATGTCGAAGAATAGTTTATTTTTTGNACTTNTTNTTCTAATAATTCAATGAATAGAGAATTCAACATTGGCGACCATATAGAAAATTCCTACAATTTATATTTCACAACTTACAATAATTAAATATATGTATGTAGTATAGTTCTTGTATAGCTAAACTTTTGAAATATAAATTTACCATATTATTTTCGTTTGATGTTCCACCATCCGGATCTCCCGCACCGCTCATTGTTATAGCTCTGCTAAACAACAATTAAAAAACATATTAGTTATATGTAATTTTTAAAACAATCGATAATATTTACACACTATATACATATTTAATGATGCATAAATTCAAATATAAATACTTATGTTCAATTCTTAAGAAAAAACGATTATGTATAGTTTTTAGAAATTTATTTAAAAATAATCAATTATTTTATATAAATGCAACTAATTTTTTTAAAAAAATTGATAACTAAAATTTGTAATCATNAATAATTATAACAATATTCCTGATTTTCAATTTAAAGGTATTTTAAAAAAATACTTAACAAAATATATAACTCAATTAAGTTATGTTATTTGTGGAATAAATATTGTAGTATGAAAAAATATTCTTATAAATATTAAATGATGATATATGTAAACGTTATACGAATTATAAAAAATAATGTAAACTTACTTGATTATTCTCTATGCTTTGATAAGTTAGAAAATAGTGAATTTTTTTTTTTCGAATAACAAAAAGCCTCTCAATTTTTTTTTTCTCTTCACCGGAATATGAATAAACTTGTTTCATTGAATGAGAATTTATAGTCAAATTTTGATACATCTGTAACTTTTTTTAAACTGTGTAACTTGTTTTTTTGTTGTTCACGTGAAGAAAAAACAATAATTCATCTTCAATTATGTAATTTTTGTCAGACAAGTGTCATCTAAAAAAACAAATAAGTCATCT